AAAANAAAAAAAAAAAAAGAACAAGAAAAAAAAAAACAGAGAAAAGCGGAAAACGAAAAGCCAACAATTTCCACCGCCAATCGAATTAATCTTATTATCTTTCAATTGTATAAATATATAAATATATATATATATATATGATATATACATACAATTGTTTTTGCTTTGTTTATTGACTGTTTACATGTATTTGTTTGCTACAATTCTTAAATATTGCTGATCTTTTGAATTTTGTATATTTGTCTTTTACCCATTAAGGGCAGGCAGGGACAAACTCTTAAAAATTTTAAAGCTTTGATATTTACCCTTCGGCTAAGCCTATAAACTTTATATAAACTCTAAAAGATATTTTCACGGGCTTTTTCCTATATAAAAAAAATTTTTATATAGAAAAAAAAAAATTGCCATAGATACATGAGTAAAATAAATAACAATAAAAAAAAAATTAAAACAGTCCTTCATGCATAAATAATTTGTACACGACCAAACCCAAAAAGTAAATTTTATAAAAAAAAAACCCATGACGTGTTTCTCAAGCTATTATTATAAGCCCAGTTTCAAACCATCAGCCAAATAAAAAAAATAAACAAACTAACTAAGCCAAAAGCCAAAATCCAGAAGAAAAAAAACACAAAAAAAAGTAGCTTTATCTGTAACTTAGATCTTCAGCTTACTAGCAATAGACTAGTCCAAGTTCAAGCTAGACTTTCCAATGGCTACTCTCATTCTTTTATCACTACCTTAAAAAAAACTATTCATCAAATTCTTTTCTTTAGAGCGAAAAGAAAAAATCAGGGACAAGAAATCTAGACTCGATGCTCAGGCAGAGCGCGCATGTTTAGATATGCACTCATACATACCTATAAGTACCGGCACGTACCAATATGCACCCAAATGCAGAAATATGCATAATATGTAGACAATTTAAAATTTAAAAAAATTGTGTTTACGTAGGTTCGGTCAGATCTCACCTTGTTGAAGTTCAAATCATTTCTTTTTGAAGGTCTTAAAAAAAGAAAAGAGCGTAATAATATAGGAACTTAAATTTTCTTTAAAATTCTTTAATTTTTTTAAAAAAAATAAAAAACTACGGCGAATTACTCAAGAATATATAAACAAATTGAGATCCCCCTTATTTTTTACTAACAAAAGGTATTTTAATATTCTTTTTTTTTTCTCTTTTTTAATTATTTATTTAATTAAAAACTAATTGAAACTTAGAACTGATTATAATTCTTTTTTATTTTTTTCTTCTTCTTTAGAGTAAAAAAAAAAAAAAATTATCCACATTCTTTTAATAATTAATTAGATATATACAGAGCTATCCAACTTTCAGTCTTTCCTTTTGTTAATTGCCATATATATTTTAATTGTTTATTCATTTTTAATTTTTTTTTAATTTTTTATTTTTTTGAAAAGAAAGATAAAAAGACAAAAGTCACTCATTCGTTTTTTGAATTTGATTTGAAAACTCCAAGTTTCGATACCACATTCTTTTAATTGCTTGTTCATTTTTTTATATCAATTTATTATTGTTATTATTGAAAAAAAAGTTTTTTTTTAGCTAATATTACATTTTTATTTTTTTGAAAAATGAAATCTACTTCAGTTTTATCAGTTTTGGCCTTGGCCTCAGTTGTTGCCTCGGTCCCATTGCAACACCACCACAACATGCACAAGAGAGCACCAGTTTACGAATACGTTACTGAAACTGTTATTGTCACTGCAGGTGCACAAGGTGGTGTTTCAACCAGTATTAGTGTTGGTGATGCTACATCCACATCTGCTCCAGAAAAAGAATCTTCTACTTCAAGTTTCTCTGAAGCCACTTCAACTTCAAGTTCAGAGGCTTCTTCCTCTTCTTCTAGTGCTACTTCTACAGAAAGTTCTACTTCATCATCAACTTCCTCTTCATCATCATCATCATCATCATCATCTGATACTTCGGATATTTCAGGTGATTTAAGTGATTTTGAAAATCCAACTGAAGAATTTGAAGATGGTACTGTTAGTTGTTCTGATTTCCCATCAGGTCAAGGTGTCATTGCTTTAGATTGGTTAGATTATAATGGCTGGGCTTCAATCATGGATGAAAGTGGTAACACTGCAACTTCTTGTGAAGATGGTTATTATTGTTCTTATGCTTGTCAAGCTGGTATGTCAAAGACTCAATGGCCTTCTTCTCAACCTTCAAGTGGTATTTCAGTTGGTGGTTTGTATTGTAAAGATGGTTACTTGTATAAATCAAATTCTGATTCAAATTATTTATGTGAATGGGGTGCTGATACTGCCAAGGCTGTTTCTCAACTTACTGATGATGTTGCTCTTTGTAGAACTGATTATCCAGGTTCTGAAAGTATGGTTGTTCCAACTTTATTATCTGCTGGTGGATCAAAACCAATTAGTGTTGTCAATGAAAGTACTTATTATCAATGGGAAGGTAAAGAAACTTCTGCTCAATATTATGTTAACAATGCAGGTGTTTCTGTTGAAGATGGTTGTATTTGGGGAACTTCTGGTTCTGGTGTTGGTAATTGGGCTCCAGTTGTCTTGGGTGCTGGATACATTGATGGTATCACTTATTTATCTTTGATTCCAAATCCAAACAATTCTGATGCTCCAAATTACAGTGTTAAGATTACTTCAGCTACAGGTACAATTAGTGGTGCTTGTTCTTATGTTGATGGTTCTTTCTCTGGTGATTCAACTGATGGTTGTACAGCTTCTGTTCCTTCTGGATCAACTGCAAAATTTGTCTTTTACTAATTTCAACTAGAAAACTTGGTACCCAGTACTGGCACTGGTGAATGGTGAATGGTAAATGGTGAGTGGTGAGTGGTGAGTGGTGAAAAAATTATTAGCAAAAAAAAAAAACGAAAGAAGAAAAAAAAAAAAAAAAAAAAAAAAAAATTTTTTGGAAAAAAGGAAAAAA